TGAGGTTATGGGGGGGTCTGGGGTTTACATGAATCCTTTCAGCTGTGCCTCTGTATTGTTTTGCTGTGTGTATTTGTGTGAGTGTGCGTGTGGAGCCGTTTGGGGTCAACTACAGTTGAAACATGTGTAACTATCTGAGGCACAGCAGCAGAACGTGTTTAACTTTTGAAGAACCAGTAGTTTTATGACAGGGCAACTGTTCTTATCATACACTGAAAGGAGTTGTGAGTCCTCTGTTGAGTACCTCTCTTATCTGGAACTACAAGACTGATGAAATGGTCAGGGTGAAATAGCTGGATACTAGCGCAGGCAGAAAAACTCCCAGGAACACCAGTGTCTAATGACTAACTGGATGAGTGTGTGGACTGGAAGGGTTAGAATTACCCCTGAAATTCTTCACTGTCCCAGACTAACAGCAGTTATCAGATGGGTGACAAATATCCCATAATTGGATCATTCATCACCAGCAAACACATCTGTTTTGAGTAATGGGAAAACTAATCAGCAAAAATGATACAGAGATGACTCCAGCGCGGGCACACAGAAGATTTATGCTGGAGCAATCCATGGCTCAAGCCTGTACCTATTGATTGTTTAGTCTAAATGCTTTTTCATTTAATCATAAGAAAGTCAAAATGGTACAATGCCAGCAGGATGATGGAACAGATGTGATCAAACATCCTACACAATACGTTTAAGATGCCAAGAAGAGACTCTCTCCTTCCTGGGTTTCACCTTAAATGTCAAAGTTCATCAGGGTTCATTGGAGCTTCAAATCCAGCTTTGAGTGGTCAGCACTCAAATGGACCACGTCCCAAGAGCGAAGGACACTTATCCTCTAAATCCTGTCTGAGAAGAAAGCACAGTTCACAGGGTGCAGGTTTTGGCTCTGGGTGTTGTACACGCTTCTCACTGCAGCTACAGGTGGATGACGTATACACCAAACACACTGCTTCAGACTGGGCTTACACTCCCACACACACACACACACACACACACACACACACAAACCAATGAGCGGCTAATGCAGGTAGAGGACATTAAAGCCATAAAGACAAACCATGAGCTACACATTTTTATAAGTGAAGACTTATTCAAGAGACAATTGTATAAGAGACTACCAATAAAAAAGACTTAATGAACCTATTAACAGGATGATACAATAAAGTTGCCAGTCCTTGCGGAACCCTTTTCTCAGGCATTAGCATTTACCTGGAAGTAGAATTATATAGTGGACCATATCCATACAATACTGTGCTCTGACGCATTGTATTTCGTTTAGCAGTAACATCTTCATATAAACAGAAGCATTTCAAATATCTTGATATATACATATCTAAAAATCTAGACTGTTTTGGCAGATACTTGACAAAGTATCTGTATATTGTAGGAACTTCACCAATATGCATACACCTGCAGTATCTTGCTAGAAGACACTCAAAACATAGTTACAGAATCTGATCTTTAAAAATGGTATTTTCTCCTAATATGACCAGGGATGTTTATACAGGCATTGTCTGGTACTGTAAAACCCATGTAGCCTAGCATAGCTGGCCCTTAAAGCTAGTTAAATAAACTGTAAGTGATGAACTGCATGGAATTATATCACCAGAAAAGACAGTTCATTCACTACCAGACAGACAGAAAAATTTTTTTTTAGGTCACAGCAAAATCCCCATCAGTCCCGCCCACACATACAACATGTCCCCATGGTAATACTCCTGAAATGTCTGTGTGTGTTTGCAACTCCACCCCTCTCAGATTGTTATTGTAATGACTCAGTGTTTTGTCGGCCAGGTCCTGCTCTGTTCCTCCCGCGGTGAAAGTACCTACAGTGCTCCCAAAGTTCAAAGATCGGAATCTGTCATGCGCTGTCATATTAATGGCTGGCCTGTAGAGGGCCCAGCTTGGACATGCACCTTGACATCTGCAAGGAAAATTTTAAAGCTAGATTCTCTATTCAGAAAACAATGCAGATCTCCTTCACAATCACCTTGAAGAACTTTTTTGGTGTCACTCCGTCATAGTTGAGATATTTCTCAGATACATTCATGGTTAAAATAGTCTGTAATAACCTCTTCTCACTTCGCAAAAGACAATAGCCCCTAGTCTGGTAAAATATCCATAAAGCTAGCACAGAGTAATCTGCTCAAAAACAACAACCTGTGACCAAGTACTCCGTAGGCTGTGGTGTTTTTATTTGAATAATTCCTACACATGCCAAGTGCAACCACAGGTGTCCCTGTTCAGCTGTGTCCTGTTGTAGGACAAGATGATGTCTTTTGCTGTGCGGCCGCGGTGTAATGTGCACCGAAAGCCGATCCGCGATTGACCAACGAACACATGACAACGATGTAAACAAAAAGCAGACAAGCATGTGTGCTACACTCTAATATCCATACTCTGTAGGGTGTATTATATCCAATGACGAGGGGAGGATATTCAATCACAAACCTTTGGTTTATATGGCATTTTAGGTCTCATTCAAAAAAGAAAGAGAAGAAAAGACCAAACAGTGCACCTGGTAAGGTTAACTTTTTATCAGAAGTGTAATTTAGATAACTTTATTAGAAAATAATCTGTTAACTATCAGAAATGTAATTCATTTGCTGTGAGAAAAAGTCAATACAATGACATCCTCAATATTAGCTGACACGCTAATCCACCGTCTATTCAGAGCCAACTCCTCCTGTCATTCTGGCTTTGCAAACCATACACACACAAAACAACATGATCTCGCTAACCTCTGTATTTAGGTATTAAAATTAGTGGGCGCACTTTGAAACACTGCATAAATTTACAATAATAAACTGTCACCCTCCCTCTTTTCTTCTTTCATCGTCAAAGTGTTCTTTCTCATGAATGGATCCTGCCTGAGCTCTCTAGAGGTTACAGAACTCACAGCTGCCGCGGCTGCTGCTGCTGCTGAGGTTCTGTCTCTTACTCACCTCCAACATGAACTGTTGCTGCTTCAGCTCAGAGACAATAAACAACCAGGAGTCTCGCACATTAAAGCGGACGCTTTGTGCCGTCCTTAATTTAACACAGCACTTATTGGTATCGTAACCACAGAGCTGTTTTAAACCAGCTGTAGAGTTTGGCAGTCTTTTCCCGTGTCCCTGTAACATGACTTTAAAGTGAGAAACATTACGAAACGTTTTGCAGTGGGTACAAATCCCTGTGTCCTAATTTGTGTGAAATGCTGTTGTTTTGACCAAATCTGTGCCACCTTCCAAGATGTTCAGATCTGGTTTATTTTCAGGTGGTAACCAGGTCTGACCCAACCTCTCTATCACCACAAGGACCACCTACGGATGCACTTCTCTTCACTAGCTCTTTGCATAATCTGTCAGAAAATGGAGAGTTCAGTGGGGTTTAAAATGACTAACACCCAGCTCCTAACTTGGAAACATTTGCCATTGGTTGCCTGTTCGCTGTCCCTTTAAATAACTTTAAACCCTCTTTCTCCTCTCTACCTCCCTCCCCTGAGGTTTATCACTGTGACTCTTCTTTCTTCTGTCTTCCTCTACCCACACACACACACACACACACACACACACACACACACTGCCTGTTTGTGTGGCTGACAACTACAAAGCAGTAAGCCAAGCATCTCTTGGCTCAGTGCAGAGAGAATAAGACACTCTCATTACTGCCCTTAAAAAGCTCTTGCCCTCACAAAAATCCCTGGTAGACCCAGACACTGGTGCAGAAAATGTTATGAAAGATTTGCAGAGTTGACGACTACCTTTTTTCCTTCTCTTTACAACTCCATTCTGTTGTAGTGTGCATGTCTGTGGTGGATGGCTTTCTGACACCCCCCTCCTCCTTGCACAGTTCCCCTTTCCTGTTCCTCTTTAATGTCACAGGGCTGGCTCATATGACCTTGAGCGTCAGTGTTGGCACGGCAAGAGTGAGAGCTGTCTTGCCTGCAGGCGCCCTTGAACTGGATCTGCAAGACAAAAAAAAAAAAAACAACCTTCACGCACCCTGATAGACATCTCAGACCTGTCCAGCCCTTTTCTTCTGACCTCTTTTATTCAATGTAAAAGAGTTCCCACTGGTGGGAGGGGGTTTATCCGGATGCTGTATCTTCACCTCTCTATCAGACCCAAACAGAAACAGAATTTAACTTGTCTAACTGGTCTGCCAGATTCATTGTTTCACTACTGCTTCTACTGCCATCACCTCCACTGTGTATAGACCTGTGACACACTGGGAGTGGTGAGACAGTTGTATAATGGAATACACCTGACGATGTGATGCCATCCACCACACTGGTGTTGTTTATGTACATAGAAATTCCAGACTATTTTCCCTCCAGGCTCTTGTCCCAGCCACTGGCACACAGTGACCTGAAGCTTCGAAACAAATAGTTCTGCTCAAATTTAAATATAGAGTAAGCAGAATTTTACTGAGCAATAAACCACCAGGACAGAAAAGTAAAAAGATATTGCCATTATTAAATTTTAATCCAGCTATGAAGCTGCTGTTGTTAGAGTTGTTTTTATTCTATTTTATTTTTTGAAACTCTTCTTCTTGTGAATACATTTTTACCAGTAAAAATTGAGCCAGGTGACAGTAATGCAGCTAACTTCAAGGCTGTCATCTGTTTAGGAGGAGACAGGAGGCTTCTAAGGAACGCACCTTTCAATAAATAACTTTTGTTGTTGGACAACACTATTGGTATTCAAATGATTATGAAAATACAGGGTTAATTAAGGTTTCTCACAACATTTTCTACATTTCACAACTCCACAGCTAACACAAGTGTATTTCTGCTACAGTCAGCTTTGACCTGTCCAGGACAAAGTCCAATCCTTTTAGTGGAAAAGATGAAGCAAGGTGGAGCATCACACCAGAACACAGGGGCTCTGCGCCAGGTTTAGTCAGTTAGCCATAGCGTAATTAGCCCAATCTTTAGTGATTGACCACTGGCCGAGGTCTGTCCTGGGATGAACTTTTTCATAATTTTTCTTTAAACCGTTGAATGCTTCTTAATAAAACATTTTTCAAACTACATCTTAAGCCTCTGTATGACAGCAAGGAGAGCTAAGTGCTCTGTGTTTACTACTAAAACAAACTAAAAACCAACATTACAGCATGGTTTTATCTTGAATGGATGGAATACATGTAACAGGCCAATAACAGTTTGTAAATTAAAGAAGAGGGTTGTGCCTTGGAGTCGGCATTTTTACAGGCTGATGCTGACCCACAGTTCCCGGTGAAGACCTCTTGATTTTCCAAAGTAAACACTGTACATGGTCCATAGTCCAAAGTCTGGCTCAGCACAGTTAAACCCTTCTCTCGCATGAATGCTGAGTAAAGTCTACTGTAAAAGCACAGGGAAGGGTTGTATCTGTAAACACTGCACCACCCGCCTTACATGTTTAACTTGGGCTGCCAAGGTTGGAGTAAAACAATAAGTATTTATATCCTCTCTTACAAAGCACCAGGCACAATACTTGCTGTTTCTTTCAATTGTACACACTGTGCAAAAGGCTGTGTCTGTATGTGTGGGGTTGCAGGTTTGAGAGTCGGACTGGCCTCCCCCCCCCCCCCCTCCCCCCGTTGCTTCCCTTCATGCTTGACCTTTAAAAACTGTAATGTTATCACATGTCATACGCAAGCCTGCTGGAAACCATCTGCTGAAGGCACTGTGGTAGCTCCCTGTCACCAAAAAGGAAAACACTACGTGGTGTGGCCGTGTACTGGTTTTGACTGGTTTGCTGCTCTGCAAGCTTCACCTTCACACACACACAAACACACACACACACACAGGCGTCAACACGTAGATGTATACACCCCCTCAGAGGTTGTTGTTGAGCGACATGAGCTATGAGCAGTCTCCTCAATTAGCATTAAGGGGCTTTGGCACAGAGACATGAGGTTCTGGGCTAGGAATAACATTAGACAGGTCTGCTGTCTGGCAGGAGCAGGACTTGGGAGTTGTGGAAATAAGGGAGAGCTGGCTACGTGCACTAACCTGTGTGTCTCGCTGCTAATCCAGTCCTCTGCCATCTTTAGCCACACCTCAGTTTGTTAGTGTGACACTTGGCTAATGTGGCTGCTATTACAGAATCTAGCCAACATGAACATTAGACCTGGCTTTTATAGGGA